TTGGAATGTTTGAGTCTCTTATATATTCTGGATATTAATTCCCTATTGGATGAGTATTTTATGAATATTTTCTCCCATTCTGTAGGTTGTCTTTTCACTCTGTTTCCTTTGCTGTGCAGAAACTTTTTAGTTTGATATACAATCTTGTCTACTTTTGCTTTTGTGCCTGTGCTTTTAAGGTCTTATTTACAAAATCTTTTTTCAGAACAATGTGTTGAAGTGTTTCCCCTACATTTTCTTCTAGTATGTTTATCATTTCAGGTCTTACATTTAGGTCTTTGATTCATTGTAAGTTAATTTTTTATTGGATGAAAGTAGGGGTCTAGTTTCATTCTTTTGCATACGCACATTCAGTTTTCTCAGCAGTATTTACTGGAGAGACTGCTGTTTCCCTACTAAGTGTTCTTGGCACCTTTGCAAAAAGTCAGTAGACTGTAAATAAATTTCTGGGTTCTCTATTTGGTTTCATTCATCTATGTGTCTGTTTTTATGCCAGTACTATACTGCTTTGGTTACTACAGCTTGGTAGTATATTTTGAGGTCTGGAAGTGCGATGCTTCCAATTTTTTTTTTTCTCAAGATTGCTTTGGCTATTTGGGGTATTCTGTGGTTCCATACAATTTTTTTTTTTTTCTGTGAAGAATATCATTGGTATTTTGATAGGAATTGCATTGAACCTGGAGATTTCTTTGGGTTGTATTTTCATTTTAACAATATTAATTCTTCTGACACATGAGCATGGGAGGGCTTTTCATTTTTTTGCATCCTCTTCAATTTATTTCATCAATGTTTCATGCTTTTTCTTGTAGAGATGTTTTACCTCTCTGGTTACATTGATTTCTACGTATTGTATTGTTTTATAGCTCTTGTAGATGGGATTTCCTTCTTGGTTTCTTTTTCAGCTAGTTTGTTTATGTATAGAAGTGCTTCTAATTTTTATATGTTGATTTTGCATCCTACAACTTTACTGAGTTACTTTATCAGTTAGTTATTAGTCTGTTCTCACACTGCTGTGAAGAACTGAGACTGGGTAATGTATAAAGACAAGAGGTTTAATTGACTTACAATTCCACAGCTATACAGGAGGCATGGTTGGGGAGGCCTCAGGAAACTTACAATCATGGCGAAAGGGTGACAGGGAAGCAAGAACCTTCTTCACATGGCAGAGCAGGAGAGAGAGCAATGGGAGAAGTGCTAAACACTTTTAAACAAACAGATCTCATGAGAACTCACTCACTATCCCAATAACAGCAAAGGAGAAATCTACCCCCAAGACCCAATCACCTCCTACCACCAGTTTCCTCCCCCAACATTGGGGATTATAATTCAAGATGAGGTTTGGGTGAAGACACAGAGCCAAACCATATCACATTTCTAAGACGTTTTGGTAGACTCTTTAGGTTTTTCTGGGAATAAGATAAGAGAATTTGACTTTCTCCTTTCCAATTTGGATGTTTGTCATTTCTTTCTGTTGCCTAACTGCTCTGGCTAGGAATTCTAGTGTTGTGTTTTACAGGAATGATTAGCGTGGACATGTTTGTCTTGTTTGGTAAGATGTTAGCTGTGGATTTGTCATATATGACCTTCATTGTGTTGAGGTACTTTCCTTCTGTAACTAATTTATTAAGAGTTTTTATCACAAGGAGATATGTAACATTTCAAAAGCTTATTGTTGTTTTTTGCTTTGAGATGATCATATGGTTTTTGTCCATCATTCTATTGATTGTCCTTCATTTTATTGACGTGAAATATGTTTATTGATTTGCATATGTTAAACTATCCTTGTATGCCTGGGATAAATACCACTTGATCATGGTATATTATCTTTTTGACATGTTGGATTCAGTTTGCTAGTACTTTATTGAGGATTTTTGCATACACTTTCATCAGGGATATTGGCCTGTAGTTTTCTTTTTGTGTGTGTGTCCTTGTTTGATTTTGGTATCAGGGTGATGCATGTCTTGTAGAATGAATTAGAAAGAATTCCCTCTGCTTCAACGTTTTGAAATAGTTGCGGGAGAATTGTTATTAATTCTTCTTTATACATTCAGTAGAATTCAGTAGTGAAGCCAACTGGTCCTGTACTTTTCTTTGTTGGAAGGCTTTTTATTATTGACTCAGTCTCATTACTTGTTTTGCTCTGTTAAGGTTTTCCATTTCTTCGTGGTTCAATTTTGTTGAGTTGTGTGTGTCCAGAAATTTATCCATTTTTTCTGTTTTCAAATTTATTGGCCTATAGCGGTTCATAATAGCCTTTGACTTTGTATTTACTTGTATCATTTTGTATTTCTGTGATATCCATTGTGATGTCTCCCTTTTCATTTCTGATTTTATTTACATGAATGTTCTCTCTTTTTATCTTAGTTTGTCTAGCTATTAGTTTGTCAATTTTGTTTATCTTTTTAGAAACAACTTTGTGTTTTATTGATCTTTTGTTCCTGTTAGTCTTTTTGCTTATTTTTGCTCTGATCTATTTCTTTCCTTCTACTAATTTGGGGTTTGGTTTCTTCTTGCTTTCCTATATCCTTGAGGTACATTAATAGGTTACTGATTTGAAATCTTTCTAGTTTTTTGATATAGGCATTTATTACTATAAATTTTCATCTTAATATTGCTCTTGCTGTGTTCCGTGGATTTTGGTATGCTGTGTTTCTGTTTTCATTTGTTTCAAGGAATTTTCAAATTTTATTCTTAATTTCTTCCTTCACTCATTGGTCAATCAGGAATATCTTATTTAATCTCCTTTTATTCGTATAGTTATGAATAGTCCTGTTGTTATTGATATCTAGTTTTATTCCACTGTGAACAGATAAGATATTTGATACAATTTCAGTGTTTTAAAATTTTCTGAGATTTGTTTTGTGCTCTAACATATGGCTAATCCTGGAGAATATCCCCTGTGCTGATGAGAAGAATCTGCCCTTTGCAG